CTCTGGATCGTTAAGATCCACAGTGGTTATGTGTGGCGTCAGGCTCTGGGGTCTGCACCATGTGATCCACTGGAGGATCTTGGGCAGGCAAGTTGGGCCAAGTATATCTGGTTCAGGGCAGGCTTTCTTCTCTCCAATTAGCGGAGAACACAAAGCATACATGATGTATTGAAATAATGACCAGTTGTCATTCCCCACCAGCATTATCTGAAGTAGTTCATCATCAAGCCCACTTCAAAAGTGTCTCTTCATAGTGTACTCGTCCCAACAAACCTGATGGCACAGTTCCAAAAAGTCCTCAACAAAATCCTCCAGTGGCCATCCCTATGATGTAAGGCCAGGAGTTTCTCCTTTGCAAAATGTCCAATTTATTCATTTTAACCTGTTAGCCCGCACCTGGATGCCGGCGCACTGAACGCTCTTTGTTTGCACGTGTCAATGTTTATGAATAGTTTAAATGAAAAGGGACATAATTAATCTTGACAAACTATATATCATTCTAAAGATCTAAGCCTTAAGCATCGACGATATATTGCTGTTTTTCAATGGAAAGCTTATAAAGAATGTATTTGCTAAATTTGTGTAAGCAGTACACATCAAAACATGCATAATCAAAACACAGTACGTACCAGATTCATTGTAATAATGAGTCATAAACGCACCCACAGCTGTAAATCCCGGTTTAGTTAGAAAGGTAAGGGTCCACTGAACAACATCCCATAGAGCACTTTTAGTCCAACGAAACAATAACATTGTAATATGGATGGTAATTCCTTTGTTTACGTCTCATTTCTTTGGGGACAGTTACTGTTTGTATCCGTTATGGAATAACTTACGCTCAAAAAACTGCATCTTGGTAGTAAAAAGCAACATGGTTTTGTAGCATACAGTGTCACAAACAGAATGAGACAATCCACTAAAAAAAAGTCAAAGATACGCGGAATATTGTTTATTTGAATTCTGGCGCTCTCTCGTGATGCTCATGACGCACGCTGTGACGCACCTGTCATCTGATGGGGGTGTAAATTAGCGATCGGCTTTTTGCACAAATAATTTTTTTTTTTTTCTTATTCAACATTTTACATATATGTGTGTGTGTGTTTTGTGGGGAATGTGGCTGTATCTGCATGATTACCATCTGTACGACCGCACATCAGCGTGATTACTGTGTGTATGACAGCTATCAGTGTGAATGCGGTCTATATGAATAGAGTGTGATTATTGATTATATGCCCAGCCATCTGTATGATTACCATCTGTATGACCGGCCATCAGCATCCAGCTATCAGTGTGAATGCTGTATTTCTAGCAATCACAGGATGTACTTGGCATACATAGTTAATTCTTTTTTTTTCTTATTTCTTTTTATTACTCAAAAATTATTCTTATTGTATTTTTCTAGTGCTCAAATAAATCACTTATACGATGTCTAAGATTCTGTCTATTGTTTTATAATTGAAAAACTATGCAGTGGTAAGTTTAATGACTAAAATATTTTGTAGAACCCTTCAATACATTTGGAAAATATTTTTCCTCAAACGGAGGGGGGGTACTAGACATAGTCTCAGAAAAACGGTTGCAGGAATCTAATTTCTCATGGTATCTTCTTCAGATTTGAAATAGAAACTCATGAGACATGTGACTTTCAACCCATTACTTTTCTGGATTGCTCCAGGACTGAGTTCATGTATTTTTATATGAAATTAAAAAAAATCAGTGTGGTACAATTTTTTTCGAGGCACTTCAGTGTCTATAACTTTTTATCGTTTTGAGCATTATCAACTGTGGATGATGGATAGTAAAGCCCAAAGGTTCTTCTTTCCAAAGACACCAAAATTGTTTGTGTAGCACACTGTTGTCAGGAACTGTTACCATTTTAAGTTAGGTAGGTCATTTTCAGCTGTGAGTCCCAAAATGGGCAGTGCAGATTAAGGGTCCGGTATTCTGTAATGTTCAGGTCCAAAACATAACATAACTGTTAAGGCATTGGTCTCAAACTCAATTCATGGAAGGCCACAGCTCTGCAAAGTTTAATTCCAACCAGCTCCAACTCGCACCTGCTTTACATACATAAAATACATATAGGGCCACAGCTCTGCAGAGTTAAGCTCCAACCAGCTCCAAATCACATCTGCTTGGAAGTTTCTAGTAATCCTGAAGACCTTGATTAGCTGGATTAGGTGTGTTTGATTAGGGTTGGAGCAAAACTGTGCAGAGCTGGTGCCCTCCAGGAATTGAGTTTGAGATCACTGTGTTACAGTGTGTGTGTGTGTGTGTGTCTGTGTGTGTGTGTGTGCTTGGAAGTTTCTAGTAATCCTAACGAGCTTGATTAGCTGGATCAGGTGTGTTTGATTAGGGTTGGAGCAAAACTGTGCAGAGCTGGTGCCCTCCAGGAATTGAGTTTGAGATCACTGTGTTACAGTGTGTGTGTGTGTGTCTGTGTGTGTTTGTGTATCTGGTATTCCCTATGTCAGTAGTAGGTAAGTGTGGTCCTAGAGAGCCAGTGTCCTGCAGAGTTTAGCTCCAACCCTGAAAAAAAAAAAACCTCACCTGCCACCAAATGTCCCCACAAGGATAGTAAAACCTGAAATTTTTGACATTGTGGGTACCGGCCTGCAGTCCCCACGAGGGAAAAAATTAATTAAAAACAGTAAATGATGTTTATCTGAAAGTGTTACAATGCAAAAAGTTTCTCTGTAAGGCAGGGGTGTCCAACCCTGCTCCTGGAGAGCTACCATCCTGCAAATTTAAGCTCTAACCCCAATCAAACACACCTGAACCAGCTAATCAAGGTGTTCAGGGTTGCTTGATAATTACAGACAGGTGTGCTGGAGCAGAGTTGGAACTAAAGTCTGCAGGACTGTAGCTCTCCAGGAGCTCATCTAGTTCATGCTAAAATTGTTAGTCTACTTTATTAGGAAGCATATTTAACAGACAAATTGGTTAATGTCTCAACAAAATAAAATGTAAAGGATGAACTGTCATCATTTACTCACCCTCAAGTTGTTTAATTATCAAGCAACCCTGAACACCTTGATTAGCTGGTTCAGGTGTGTTTGATTGGGGTTAGAGCTGAAATCTGCAGGATGGTAGCTCTCCAGGAGCAGGGTTGGACACCCCTGCTGTAAGGGGTAGGTTTAGGGTTGGGTTAGGGCAGTGGTTCCCAATCCCAGTCCTCGCGCCCCCCTTTGCATATTTTTCATGTCTCTCTTAGTTAACACACCTGATTCAGATAACCAGCTCGTTAGAAGGGAGCTACGTGTATGAACTGTGTTCCGATTGATATGATCCTTACACAGTGTTCGTTGCTCCCTACTCCCTGAGCAGGGGAAATCCGTTTAAGTTTATTTCACTTCGGAACATTCATTCATGGATGCGCCGCTGAGTCTTCACACACACAGACGAAACTTACTAGAGAAGTGTGAAGTGTGACACACAAACGAAACTTACTAGAGAAGCGTGAAGTGGGACATAATATACCTCTGTAAATAAATACAATTTAAATTCACGCCTCGCACACTTTAATGCCCTTTTAATGGAACATATACACTCGTTTCGAACTGGAGTCATGGCGGTATATCCTGTGATGTCCACTTCGCAGGGCACTTACGTTCGAATAAAACAACCGTTGGATGAGATAAGAGATAAATACGAAATATGCAGAGCGGGTAGGGCTCGCGGACTGGGATTGGTAAACGCTGAGTTAGGGGATAGAAAATATCGCTTGGTCAGTATAAAAGTAATAGATTCCTATGGAAAGTCCCCCTCTTCCATCCTCAATACCATGACTGAGGTGAGACCCTTGAGCAAGGCACCAAACCCCCAACTGCTCCCCGGGCACTGCAGCAATATGACTGCCCACTGGATTTTCGAAAGAAAAGGATTAAACATTCTACAGGCAGGGTTCAAGCTGCACTCAATTCAACAGCTTCTAACACCATGTCATGTAAAATAAAAGAGTTCACATGTATGTTCTTTCTTGCACTCTCCTTTACTGAAGAACCCCCTTGACACACACCCCGACTCTCTTTACCTACTGCGCATGTTCAACAACCTTAACTAATCAACATCCATGGCAGGATGAGAGTTTCTGACATGGCTCTCCTGCATCATTTTATTGATGCATTATTACTTTGTGATTTAATTGATTTCCATGATTTTCAATGGAAGGGCCAAAAACAACAACTAGGAAGTTTATAGATTAAAAGCAAGATCAAAATGACAGAAAGATTCTCAAGCATGTTAAACCGTTGATTGTGTATTTAATTTACTATGATTTTACTGTGTGTGTGTGAGAGAGAGAGACTCTACAGGAGCAGGAATGACGAACCTGCTTCACAGACTTGCAGACAAACCTGTTTTACACGTGACTCAAACACAGAACCAGAAGACTCATCAGTTCAGGGAAAGAGAAACTGAAGTGTAGTCGAGCTGTTGTGTGTTTGTGTCTCTGTGTTCATGCAGTAAAATGGCAGAAGCCAGAATTTCAGTGGATCAGAAGGAGTTCTTGTGTGCCGTGTGTCTGGATCTCCTGAAGGATCCAGTGACAACTTCCTGTGGACACAGTTACTGTAAGATCTGTATTACAGACTGCTGGGATCAGGAGGATCAGAAGAGAGTCTACAGCTGCCCTCAGTGCAGACAGACCTTCAGTCCAAGACCTGCTTTAGCTAGAAACACCATGCTGGCTGAAGTGGTGGAGAAACTGAAGAACACCAAACTAAAAGCTGCTGTTCCTAATGGACCTGGAGACGTGGAGTGTGACATCTGTACTGGAAGAAAACACAAATTTGTCAAGTCCTGTCTGGTGTGTCTGGAGTCTTACTGTCAAACTCACTTTGAGCGTCATGAAGAGTTTCGCTCAAGAAAGAGACACAAAGTGACTGATGCCACTGGACGACTGCAGGAGATGATCTGCCAGAAACATGAGAAGATCCTTGAGGTTTTCTGTCGCACTGACCAGAAATGTATATGTATATGTGTGCTGTGTACGACGGATGACCATAAAAACCACGACATTATACCAGCTGCAGACCAGAGGACAGAGAAAAAGGTATTTAAAACTAGAAATCAAGTTAATACTCAGTGCAGTAATCCAACAATCTGTTTATTTTCTGTGTGTAGAGCCGCAGCTTAATTACACAGAACACAGAAACACTGTCAGTGTGAAGCTCTACGTCTGTGTCAGTTTCACTTTTATTATATGTACGCTTGTGGATTAAAATAGGCCTTAATCTTCATGATAATTCATGTACAATGATTGATCATCCCTTCTTTCACGAGTTCGCACTAACATCAGGGGTGTGAAGTAACGAATTACAAATTCTCACGTTACAGTAATTAAGTAGTTTTTATCAGTAATTGTACTTTTTTGAGTAGTTTAAAAATTGTGTACTTTTACTTTTACTTGAGTACATTTTAAGTGATGTATCGGTACTTTTACTCTGCTATTT